TGTTCGTGTTGTGGTAGTGGTTTTCGCAATAAGTTATTAAAATAGCAATCAGAACTTGTCTGATACCAACTGTCGTACAATATATACATTTAAGTTCGATGGAAAGATATCGGAACAACAAGCGCAACGGAGGTATTTTACCAATTAGCGTTTGTATTTTTTACCAAAAAATTTCTCTTACGAGAAAAATTCCCTGGACCAAACGCTTTTATCGAAAGCCCTCTAGAGCTCTGCAAAAGATAGCGATGATAGCGAAACGATCACTTTGAGGAAATAAATTCTTTCTAGCTTTCAAAAGATGTTGCAGCCTCTTCGTTGTTGATAATGCACAAAGTTTGAGAACTTTCAGAAATAAATTGTATTTGTGGGTAGTAAACAAGTACTCAAAAGTATAGTTTGATCTCTTTTTGTGACAAGAAAAGATACTTTTGAGCATGGTAGTAAATACAAATAGCTTGCTGCATGCAATTGACAAAAAGACTAGTTTTTTTTCAAGTAGACGATGAAATTTAAAGCTAATGATACTACGACGAAAGCAACATTAAGAAACTTCCTCATGTAAATCAAAGTCATAAAAATTTCAAGAACCCACAATTTTTGGCAGGGATATGCGCGGCTTCTAGAGAACTTTGAACCTAGCTCGTACAACGAGAAAGTTATTAGAGATCAAAACTAAGAGGAATGTTAAATGAATACGTGGATGGTTAGGCAGTATAATTACGCTCGCCAAACTTTCTATAACTGCCCTGTTGCAGGCAACGCTAGGACATCGTATGCTAACTGATTTCACCGCTGACTTCATCCATAAAAATAAGGCTGCATTTGGCTCATGCGTAGGATACTGCGGCTCAAACAGTAGTCATTAGTCATGAAATGGTGAATTCAGTTTGCCTTCCGTATCTGCAAAGCGCAGGAGCAATGAGCATGAAATCAAGTACGTAGTCGTCATGCAGGTAGAATCCCAAAGTAATCAATTGAATGACGTAGTGAAAATTTGCCTCTTTTTTGGAAAAATTTTCGAGCA